CCAGTCACAACAATACCGGCCGTTTTTAAAATTAAAAACTTCCACTAAGGGGACTACTGCAAGCAATTTGCTCCAATTACTGCAGACACGTCAGTGGTGTTTAGTCATAGGTGACCGGCTGGTAATGTTTATATCCAGATCATTTAGAAAAAAAAAAGACACTCTCGCCTTAGTTAGAGAAATATACTGGTCAATAATTGAGTAGTTGATTTATGAATGACGGTTGACTGAGTAAGCCGTTTTGGTTGAATTGTTCTGCGTATGTGTTCGCGTGATTTGGCTACAAATTTTGACGGTGGGTGCAATCTTGTTCTGCGATATGCTTCTGATTCAGTGTTCATTATGAATTCCCTTTGAACTGCCTTGAACAAAAATAGGCCTAATTCAGTTCCGCCTGGCTGCCTAATTCAGTTCCGCCTGGCTGACAAAATAACAACGTTTCTGCACTTCAGGTTCGCACTGCCTGAGCAGGATTTTAACAAGTTTTAGAGGACTAAGTTTCCACGAGAGTGATAATTTTTAGAATTACTCAAAAAGTGACTGAAACAAACTGGGTGAAACAAGGCAAACCTTTTTATAACAAATTAAGAGAAATTAACCTATCAAATATGAAATCCAAAGTTGCAGTCATTTTCATTCGTATCACACTCATAAAAGAATGCATTTACACAGCACTGCAATAGTATACCTGCACAAAGGGAATCTAGATGAAAACTATTCAACCAAAATGAAACATAAAAGTAAAGACATGAAAATTGGATATTAAACTGCCAAGTATCACAAAACTTACCAGAGATCACAAGGTTAAGATCCAATTAACAGCTAGCATCTAACGTCAGAGACAACCACTGTCAAAATGACTCATACAAATCTCCACGAAGGGGGAAAAAAACACAGTTCAGCCAGACAAAGTCCCACGCTATGCTCTTGGAATGATATTGGCGCAATGATTACAGGTTTCTAACTGGTTTGCCAGGCAAGTTCCCTTGCTTGACACAGGCCGTACTTTGCAATGGCCAAAACTTGCCCGGACTTGCCTTTTTATACCCGTCCGGGCATGCTCTGAAAGACCATGACAGACAACCTGCCCGCTACAATGCCAAATATAGCTCTATGTAAATGAGCCACTGTGCCTGGCAGTGAATCACTGATCTGTTTAGCCAGCCAATCAGTGACCCAGATCCCCGGCTGGCTGTTCCCAAGCAGGACTGTGCTTATGAATGATGCATGAGGGGAAGCCAGGAACAGGATGTGAATGGCCAACTGCACTGGGGCTGCTCATGAATATGCAGTGTTAAGGGGGAAGTGGACTTGGCCTGCTCTGAGTGGCTGGGTGAACAGGACTGGAAGGACCTGATTGGCCAACAAGTTTCTGGGAATAAACAGGGGAAGTGGAAAGGGGCCCTGGGGGGAAGTGGTTGGGCTTCCTCTGTAAACTTTTATCTTATCAACCATGAACAGTATCAGATCAAATAAATACAAAGTACGTGTACATGTACATGTACATGTTCATTACACATTGGTTAAATAAACTGATTTTTCTTTGTCCAAAATGGGTCCCTTTCAAAATGAAAACAAAACTATGCTGACAAAACCATGGCCAAAATATGAAAGTTGTTTGTTGTGAGTTGTTTGTTTTACTTTGTAAACCATATAATATTAACAACCTTATACACATATAGTTTAAAGTTGTGGTCCTCCCTTTTTTTTAAATGGCTATTTTCAAAGTAAACTGAGTAATTTGCTTTTCGGGGTTAGTTTTGCTTCCTATACTGTATACATTTCTGTATTTCTTTCTCTTCTTTTTGTTCAATGAACTGTTAGCTGTTGGATTCTGAGACTGAAAGAACATTTTAGCCCAATTTGTTTTTTTAGGCTATCAACTTGCCTTTTGTATTGAAATCTCATCCAATTTTTTTAAAATGATGAGAATTAAAAATATACATGTATGTTAAAAACGTACAGTCCGTGCTACGATATATTTACGATGTATTCTAGCAAAGAAAAAAGGTTAAATACATTTTTAAATAAGTTATCAAACAAACACAGTTTTCGAATTTCAAATTATCTCTGCCCGAACAATAAATACGTTTTTGCAGGGTAGACTGGTTCCCACGTCCCTATTAGAATTAATTGTGATCTGTTTCAATCGCTACCTGGAACCTTCAAATGTATTACTTTCAACAAGTGTGTAGTATTTATAACCAACGAACAATGGATACATGTACATGCGCTTTTCTTTTCAAACAAGTGCGATTTGTTTTTTCGTGATGCAGTGCACACTAAGCTTACTACATGTACATGGATTTTTTGGCCTTCGAGTTAAAATTACAGTTACATAGTGGGATGGTAATGAGAATACACTCTGAGAAATACCGTAAGTACCCATTGTTGCGTAAAATTGTACTCTTTGTGGTAAAAAGGCATGGTCGTCTGCGGGGTAAAATGCTACGCAACAGGGGTTGCATCGTCAAATGACCACCCTTTCATCTGACTCCTAAGGGGCAGGAGGGGGAGGGGGGGGGGGCTCTGTCAACATTTCGGCATATTTTATTAACCGTTCCCCTCACCCCGACCCCCCCCCCCCCAAACCTGGATGCTCTGCTAACATATAGTGCTGCCATGCAGGCCAAGAGAATGACCCGGTCAATTTGATCACTTTGAATGTTACAAAAGTCATGTACATTTGACGTGTACCGGTACGTTAATACACACAATACACAACGTGATATTGCAATTCAATCATTGACCTCTTTGTCACAAATACCCAATGCTTTATAAAGTACAGAATACTGCCCATGTTTTCACAATGAAATTTGTATTTTATTAATCAGTGCATCCTGAAAAGTTAATAATTACTACTAAATCGAGGCATCAGCAATTTCGAATCCCACTCTCGCAGCATGTTTGTAAGTCCACAATCCGCCATCTCGAATGTTACTGTCAATTCCGAAAACGTTCTTTAGGCAACACTGGGCAATGTTTATGATCTGAGAGCGCATGCCTGTTTCGTTGCAACTTGATCAACTTGACCCAGTAGCAAGCCTGAGAAAAATGAACTTTCTTACACTACGTTGTTTGCAATTTGAATATTTTTCGGTTGCACAATCAAATGGTCAAATTTTCTCCTTTTGAAGGGTACCGGCCAAATCGTCACGTAACCCATAATTGGGTAAGAAAGTACTCAACTTTCGTACCCAACACATTTACTCAGCAACTTTTGACACTTCTTTTTTTAGAGTATAGTTTCTAGGAGGGGGTGTACTTCCACATAATGTCTTTCTGTATATTTTAAGGACTTTTAATTACAGTAGGAAAATTACAGTCTCCTGACGATGACTAGAGCAGGCTAGTCGAAACGTTGAGACCACAGACAAGTTCGTTTAGAACTTACAGCAGGACTGTTCTTAACAGAACAAAAAACTACTTAGCAAAGTTGATAATAAGCAGGACAAGTTCTTTTCAGAACCAATATCTTCTAAGCAGTAGTTATTACCACATGGTGTTACCGCAAACCAAAACGATACAGTAGGATTGCAGGTGGCAACCCTTCACTTCTACAATGCATTCTCTTGCCAATGCCCTTAAAGGAAATGTACAACATTTGCTTTTGCTGCAATTTTCAGAAATAAATGGATTTGGAGGATTGTTATGTTATAGCAAATATTGTTAAAATGACTTGTTTCACGTTTTGGGCTCGTAGATGCTGGAAAAACCATGAAAACCAATCGTGTTCTTGTAGTCTGGTTCCCTGACCCCAATTAAGATGAAACGGAGCAATTTATAGACTTTGGGAGATTGTAAGGTCGGAGATAGCAGGCTCGTAGCCCTTCACAGGTGTGTAATCAATTGCAAAGAAAACGGAATAACTAATTATGAAAAATTAGAAGCAGTTTTTGAAAAATAGCCAGTTTTCTTCAACACTGGTCGGCCGACCAGCGTTGGAAAAATCCCATTTTCCTTGAAAATGTCAGCACACCAGGAGCCACGATTTTAAAGGATGCTTTAGACTGTCATTCCCTAACAATACAGTAAGGTATTTCGTGATAATTTGATCATTTCGTTTTGTGATGTTTGCAAATGTTGTATCTTCCCTTTAAAGACATGTGAGGCGTTCTGGCAAAAAGAGACATAACTGGGCAGCAAGTCCTTTCACAAGTCCAGTCACAAGTAATTACGATGAACAATGTCAAAGGAATGCTTTTGTTACAGTTATAGTGACTTGACTTGGGACTGAAGGACTTGTGATGGGGTTGTGATGGACTTGTAGGGACTTGTAGGGACTTGTGGGGACTTGCAGGGACTTGTGATGGACTGGACTATAACACTACTGAGCAGAGGTTGAACTTTTATCATGCTGCCACCATTTCAGTCATATTCCCTGTATCCAATAACAGTACTGAATGATGTTTTTTGTGCAAAAATGGAACCAGACTATTTTCCCTTCCAGCCTCGCTTTGGTTATGTTGAATTGAATGGAAAAAAATGAAGATGGCCCCAACATTATAATGGCCTATTAGGGAAGAGAATAAAATGCTCCTTTCAATAATACTGTTTGTGGCACTTCAATCAGACATTCCATTGACAAGTTATGGCTGTTTACACTTTCGCGTATCAACATGTCAAGAAAGTAAAATACTGAGAAAAAAATCAAAGTGTTGAGTTTTTTAGTTGTGAAAATGAAGATGCCAATTGTTTTCTCTTACAAAAACACCTCTTCTATGCCATGATTTGTATACTATTTCGAAAAACATCTGTACCAGACATATCAAAGAATACATACTAATAAATCTGAAAATAAAAAAAATCAAACCCTTTTTTTTGTTGTTGCATTTTTTCCACTACAGCCTGTGCCCCGAGTCCTGTCTCATTTTGGCAGAACGCCTTACACATCCAAACATGTCATTGCTTTTCCATGAAAAGTATGCCAACATCAACAATTTGTAAAACTCTTGTGAGGGGGGGGGGGGGGGGGGGAGAGAGCAAAAGTTTGTACTCACAGTCTGGATGCGGCCTCTGTCGTGCTCTCATCCCCTTCAATTCTGTACACGATGCCGTACATAACGTACTCAAAGCTGTCCGCCCTGGTGGGAGTGCCGTCGTCAAGGGGCGTGTACTCTCCATCGTCAGGGTAACCATCCTCTCTTAATGTTGTGGCCAGAACAAGGCGGAATTTATCACCTGTTTTTAAAGGAAAAAAAGTATAAAGACATTAATAATAAAACCCTAGATAAAATGCTGGTGGTGATGTCAAATCCATGCACAGGTTTAAAAAAATTGGTTTATTTTTCTTCTCTTTTCTTGTGAAACATTACTGACTTCAAAGCACAAAATGCTGTGTAAGATTTCTAAAAGATCTTCAAATAAATACTCCAATTACAAATTATTCCAGGTTCGGGACATTAAACAGTTTTTAATTTTTCATGAAGTAATTTTGTTGTACACATAATACATGTGTGCATGCAGGTTACTGCATTTTTCTTTGTACAACAGTGTATGTACTCAATACTATAAGTTAAGCACTGTTGATATATCAGAATTTTCAATAACTGATATATCGTAATTCCAATATCAAGACTATTTGATATATCGATTATCCCATGTAAAATTTAAAGACCATAAAGATGACACTTTAATAAAAAAAACACTTTAAGTCCCAACTTTCCACAGCTTTCTCTGGAGCATATTGCTCAAACTTTTTAAAACAAATCTCAATACTGACAGTTCGTCCAGAACGGGCGGTTTCTTTTAAGGTTTTCATTGGGGAGACCGCAAATTTGAGCGAACGCAGAGCACAAAGCGACGCCGCTTGGCATTTCGCGATATTTTAATTTTTATTTTGAGTACAAGCACAAATTGCTGCCGACTTTTATTTCATTATACAGCAAATGTTAAACACAAAGTAAAAGCACAAACAGACGATAATCTGACACATTTGCGATATTTTCAATATCATTCCTCAATATTGAAAATGTCGATATTTCGATATGTTTTAAAAAAAATTATCGGCGATATCGATATCAAACTAATGTATTGAATAATCAAGTTATATCGATAAATCGATGGTGCTTACTAGATACAACATGTACCAGTATGTAAGTGCAACAGCAACACAACATTTTTTTAGACAGATTGGATTTGAAAAAGTAATAAATGTACTCCTGCACGTGGTTATTCTATAATTTTAGGGTCCACTTTTTTTTCCTGTCCCTGTTACATCTGACATCTATGATCTGATAATTCTGATGCACTCCATTAATGCAGTTAAGAGTGATTATGGATAGCAAACTGCCAACCAATCAAAAACATTGTTTGAAGCGTCATAATACTGAATGGTAAATCACAAAGTACATGTACCAAGCTAACTTTGGACCTTGAATGACCCACACGTACAGGTATTTAGTGGGTAGGGGTGGGGCTGGTACCGGTACCGGTACCGGTATTGCTGTAACCAAAACAAGAGTGACAAGAATGAAAGGTTGACGGAAACACCATGTGGGAATAATTTCTCGAACTGAGAGAATGGTTCTGAAAAGAAGCAGTGGTATAAACTTTCAGAACCATTCTCTTAGTTTCTGCAAGCACCGGTATCTCCACCATCCAAAGCCTCAAATCTTACTGAAAGAGTGACAAAAATGGGAAAGAGAGCTCATAAAAAAACTAAAAAAGAAACTTGGGTAATGAAATACTTTGGTGGTTCATGTTTTTCCAAAAAAGTTTACAAAGAACCAAGATACATCGGAAAAACTTTCCATCACGCCACTTTCCAAGATCAAAACTACGACAGAAAACTGAAACTACATACATGTACCGGTACCGGTAAGACATGCACTTAAGAGAAAGATAACCCAACATCTGACGTGGAGGTTTGGAAAGTGAATTTGTAGTTTTCCTTCCATTCTGAACAAAGGCTTTAAAATCAGAACAAGGAAATAATCACCAAAAAATACAAAGAGATTTTAAAATGAAAGTATTCAAAAACTCTTTTCAATGTTTTTCAATACATACAGTGTGTACATGTACTTTCATTTCTTCTTTTGCTTTTTTCATAGTTTTGGGGATATATTATTTATTTTTTTTGAAAAGCTTTTCAATAAACAGAGCTACAGAGAAACTTAGCTATGAAAATGAAAGCTCTTTCAAGTCTCTCAAGATTTTAGAAACCTTGTAATATTTTTTTCAAAGTTAAATTTACACACAAACGTCAGAGTAGGAACCAGTTGATTCAACGCTCATCCATGCAGCGCTGCGCCCCTACGACCCTGGCAGGTAACGGGACCAGTAAGCAGTAAGCAGTACATGTAGTGTAAATACAGCAAACAGTCATTTGATGAGGTAAGACATGTATTCTGTCTTACTGCAAAGACCGTTAAATGTTGCAGTTATTTAAAGGGAATATACATGTACATCATTTGCTTTTGCTGTAATTTTCAGAAATGGATGGAATTGGGGGGTTGGAAATATATAGCAAATATAGTTACACTGACTTTTTTGAGGTTTTGGGTTCGAAAATGCTATAAAAATCACCAAAAACGATCATTTTCCTGTAGTCTGGTTCCCTGACTCCATATAAGAAGAAACAGAGCAGTTTACATACATTAGGGAATTGTAAGGTCAGGGAACCAGTCTAGCAGTATTTGAAAAAAAGCCAGTTATTTCCAACGCTGGTCAGCCAACCAGCGTTGGAAATTGATACAATAATACCACTTTTCTTGAAAATGACAGTATACCAGGTGCCATGATTTTACAGGATGCTTTACACTGTCATTCACTAAGGTCCAGCAAGGTATTTCAAAACGATTTGGTAGTTTTATTTTTTGATGTTTGCAAATGTTGTATTTTCCCTTTAATTCATACATTTATTGAACTATAAACTTTTTTGGTAAAATCGTTGAAACTTGTTACGCACTAGAATAACGATTTGGCTTATTGTGACTGGTTCTCAAGTTTATTTATTTATTTATTTGGAGCAACAAGCTGCTCAGCAGCTTAATGACACCTGGACTAGGACACTGCTCCAGTTTGCTGAAGGTTTCGGATTATTTTACAACAGAGGATGTTCTCTGACCTCTCGCCTAGCCAAAAAGTGGCACCAAAGAGAGAGAAATAAAAAGACACGAGGAAGTTAAAAGCTGAAAATGTTTTCCTTTATCCCTGGTAAGAGAGTAGGAAGGAAAACCACAGGAAAGGCAGGGCCAAGTCAGATAAGGGCGTCAAGTTACAAACAAAGTAACACTTTTCCTCTGAAACAAAAGGTGTTAACTATTCATAACGGGCCACTTTTGAGGGAATGATCCCCTTGTCAACACGTTTATCATCATATAATAGTTGGGAAGGTTCTTAAAATATATGATCGTTCAACACAACTACATGCAGCTCGCAGGCAGGTCATTCCACACTAAAGGTGTACAAAAGTGTGAAATGCGATTGGGAAAAGAAGGATAGGCCTAACAGTATCAAGTTGTTCCTCCTCTTTTCCCCCACTCTCACACCCCAAATTTGCAGTCAACTGCACCCTTAATACTAGTTTGGAAAGACCCATGAACATGTACCTTGAACATTTGCTGTTTTTATTTTGCAAGATTTTCTCCCTAAATTTAAGACATTATTGTATGTCGAAGCAATATTTATTTTTTTGTGGGGGGGGAGGGGTGGGGACTTACCAAATTCCACTGGATACAGTTGTGTATTCACATCCAGAATGAGATCCATCTTGAAACTTTCACTCTCACAGTGGAGGCGTGAAACTGCAAACAAACAAGCAAACACAAGAGAACAAAAAGTGAATTTCAGAAATTTGTACCAAAGTTGCAAAGTTCACACACGTATCTTGATTGATTCCTCCTAAAAGCAAAAAAACATTAATTGCAATTCTTTGCAATTTTTTTTTCTGGTTGAATAAACATTTCATATTCAAGTAGGCCCATAGGTGGGGGTGGGTTGACCAATGAAAACATCTACATTTGCACACCAGTTTTTATCGGTTGCCATGTGTTTCAGCGTTCCAGACTCAAAACCATTCACTTCCAAGAATACATGTCAGGGATTCCCATATGTCCACGCCCACCTAAATTTCTTACACGTACATGTAATTTGCAATACCACCTATAGAGTGCTGTGGTACCATTCTTGTGCTTAATGTTCTATAGGCAAATAAACATCAGAACCATATTTTTAAAGAAACTTTTGGGGGTAAAAAACTACATCACTCACGAGTCACAAGTCATTAGAGTCAAGTCCGCGTAATGAAGGTCGAGTCCCAGTCCGAGTCCGAGTATTTAAGCGCCGATGTGAATCAAGTCAAGTTTGAGTCACTAAGTCCTGGACTCGTGGCCTTACATGGACAACACATCCAAATCTAGCTCACATGTACAGGGTGTTCGTCTGGATAAAACCTATAGTTGATTCACTTTGAAGACACTCTTACAATACTACGTACACCCACACTGTGCCGGCTCAACGGTTTGTCTTATGAGAATAGGGATAAACAGACGGGGGTGGCAAGGGAGTGTTGGTTACAAAATCCGCAATTTTCTCAGAATTACAGCACTCGGGGCATTGTCATATATGAAAATTCAACAACACATAATTTCAACCCCCACCTACATGTAGAAGACTCCCTCAAAAGCAGGCTTGGGTTTGTGCAAATATTGGGCAAGAAAAATGGGCAGTAAAAATCAAACCTTCTTTTTACCTGAACGAAATTATCGAGCCTTAAAAAAAATACATGAATATTTACTATTTGTGTGGGTAACAAAGCTATGAAAACTGCAAAACAAAGCTTTGGATTTTTGTGGATTTTGCGTATAACATAAGAATAATTGAGGATTTTTCAAGAAATCTGACGAATAAATGTTTTCACACCCAAGCAAAGCTTCTTTATTCAACTACTTATTTGAAAGATTTATCCTGTGGCACGCTAACTTAAAACGTTTCCAAACTCATTTATAGTAAATATTGATCACAGATTACATCGGTAGGATCGGATTGTTCGAAATCTTTAAAAATACAACAAAGTCTGATGATCTGAGACGATGCAAAGAAATACATTAATTAAGTTTATTCCTAAACCTTACATTATTCTTCTGTGTTATCAAAATACTTTTGTGATTAAACCATGCATTTAATAGGGCCTAATATTTGTTCAATAATCTTTAAATGTGTATCAACAAAAGATGCAATATGTCCACACTAACATTCAAGATTTATACTTGTCATGCTTGTGGGCAGTTCCTTGGTGTTGGACGTACAATTTGGATTTTATAATTCAACAGTGTGCATACTAAATGTCATAATCATAAAGTGGTTAAACCATAAAGAAATTACTCATCTGGCTTTGTTGCTGTAGCAGAAATCGGCCCTAACGTCATGGTGTCAGACACAGATGCACTCAGACAAATTGATTTGTTTTGTGTATTTGATTCAGTTAACATAACAGCTGAACTGTTGAACATTGGAAATATACTATACAGTACATGGACAATAAAATATGTTTACAGGCCCATACAGGGTGAGTAAAAAAACCACGAAACCCAAATGTCGGGACTACTGTTTTAGGGAAGTTCTACATGTAGCACTTTCAAAATGTAGGATATAAAAGCCCAATTCATAAGCTTTCATTTAGAACAAGAATCATTCAAATCATTCAAGTACTTTTCAATTGGAACTTTGGAATTGTAAACACAACCGCCGTTTTAAAGTTCTGTTCACGGATCACACAAAAGGTGTGCGTTCTTTCAGCAAAACGAAAACAATTCACACATCCCTATGTGATTAGTTTTCGTTTTGCTGAAAGAACACTTACCGTTTTGTGATCCGTAGACCGAACTTTAAAACGGTGGTTGTGTTTAAAAGTCCGTAACTTGAAAAGTACATGAGTGATTTGAACTGATTTGTACTAAAAGAAAGCTGATGAATTAAGCTTTTATATCCTAGATTTTGAAAGTGCTACATTTAGAACTTCACTAAAACAATGGTCCCGACATTTGGGTTTCATTTTTTTTTTTATCACCCTGTATCATGCTTCAAAATAATATACAGACCTGTACATGTTTCATTTGTGGCATTGGTATTTTTTTCCACTGAGGTTTATAATTCCATGGAATTCCCCTTGTACTATTGTGTATTACTTTGTGTGTATACAATTATGTATTAATTTTCTCATCCTTTGAAAAATGTAGTATTCCAAACTAATGAACCAGTCAGTTTCAAGAAAACAAAACAAGGATCTAAAAGAAGATAGGCCTAGTGGCCTACATAATGTACATTAATGGTATTAAACTCCAGATGTCAATGCCAAAACCGACAATGTGCACTATTTTGCACAGCTGCAACTGGCCAAACAATTATAACAGGACTGAAAACTGAGCAACTTCATTGGAAATTAAAACTCTGGCAACATCATGTGATAAACACAAAGTATACATGTTGATCTTTTGGACTCAAACAAGCTACATACCCGGTACATATACGTGTATACATGTATGTAATGTCAGGATGGCAACGATCAACAACCTAACCAGTCCTTCTGATTTGAAATCACAAGCGTGTGAAAAGGGCACACCTAAATTTTTTCTAGGCGTGTGCTTTTTCTAGGCGTGTAATTTTTCTAGGCATTTGATTCTGTGGTCCGAACTCGGACTGAACAATCTGATTTTTTTTACAATATTCATCTTGGTTTAAAAGCCATTTCAATAGCTCACAGAAGTATAATTATGACATAATGTATGCCGAGGTGTGCGATACAGAGGGATTCAGGCATGTGATTATTCGCACTTCTCGGGAAGCCTTTAGGCGTGTGATAGCGTGGGGGTGCGATCGCACGCCTCAAATCAGAAGGACTGCCTAACAACCATGGCGAAGTGCTCCTGAAATGGGGGCAGAGTTTATACATGTGCACATGTAACTCTCTATGTAATGAGGGTTTGGGTGGGGTGGGGCGGGGGTGTTGTGCTAAGCAAAATAGTTGGGGAAAAATGGAGAATGCCAAATAGTCACTTCAATGACTATTGAAATATGTACTTTCATGATAAAGAAAATGGCAACTGAAACTATATTTCTAACCAAATACACATACATGTATATCAATCTAAGTTATGATTGCGCAAGCTTTCCAAAGTTGTTGTAGCAAAAGCTCCAATGATTCACTTTCGTTGAAACAAGGAAAGGGCAGCTCATGTGACACTAGTTTCATGTGATCAATGAACAGAGTAAATAAAAACTGAAAACAAAGTACATGTATGATCATGAATGTGTGCCACACCTCTTTCTTTGTCTGCTTAGGCCTAAATGCAGTTTGCAAATAACTAAGGGGTTCATTACAAAGGGGGTATTATCAGCTGAAAAAAAAAATCCATTTTCCAGGGATACATGTAGTTTGCTGCAAATTTTTCAAGAAACATTTCTAATGAGTGTAGGGTAGAGCCTAGTTGAAATGTGTTCAAGTTGAAGGGGTTAAAACCATGGTAACAAAACATCTATACCGGTACATGTTAGTAGGCTTCAGCATGAACACGAGTACAGATATGATAACATTTAAAGGGAATATACATCATTTGCTTTTGCTGTAATTTTCAGAAATGGATGGAATTGGGGGGTTGGAAATATATATAGCAAATATAGTTACACTGACTTTTTTGAGGTTTTGGGTTCGAAAATGCTATAAAAATTAAGAAAAACAATCATTTTCCTGTAGTCTGGTTCCCTGACTCCATATAAGAAGAAACAGAGCAGTTTACATACATTGGGGAATTGTAAGGTCAGGGAACCAGTCTAGCTGGCTTGTACCCGTTCATAGGTGTGTAATCGATTGCAAACAAGTGCGATGGTCAATTGGGGCCAGTATTTGAAAAAAGCCATTTTTTTTCCAACGCTGGTCGGCTGACCAGCATTGGAAATTGATACAAAAATACCACTTTTCTTGAAAATGACAGTATACCAGGTGCCATGATTTTACAGGATGCTTTACACTGTCATTCACTAACAGTTCAGCAAGGTATTTCAAAATGATTTGGTAGTTATATTTTTTGATGTTTGCAAATGTTGTATTTTCCCTTTAACTCTAATTGCAATATTCTTTGAGAAATTTGCCTAGTCAAATGAATCTCATTTGTTCCTGAAAATGAGGGACTGAACATTTTGTGAATCCCCGCCCGAAACAAAGACCTTCTCAAGCACAGAAGGGAAACGGCAAACCTCGCAAAGTTCCAGAAAACCGACAGGAATTCAGCTCTCAATCTGTAAGCACGTACGTTGTAATCGTACACACAAAAGGATGGAGTTTTGGAGGAAATGGCGGGGGATATTATTCCAATCAGGTTCCTGCAGCTGCCAGTGGATGGCTGACCAAGCCCCAGAAACCAAAACTCCAAGGCCGGTCACAAGCCAGTCATACTAGCCCCTTGGCTCTCACAATATAGAAAGAGGAAGTTAACAAGGATAGTTGTTATCTCTTGATTTCAGGCCTGAAACATCAGGGCCAGTGTTTCGTATGAAAATACTGAGCTGGGCACATGGTTAGGGAATGGCACGCACTATGTGCACTGTGTCTAGAATGCCACGAAGCCATTTTATATGGGTCTACTTTTTTCCTGTCCCTGTTACATCTGACATTGTTTTAAACTCTCGATGCACTCTCGATGCTTTGACTGTAGGCGATTGATCAGTCACAGTGCTTGCTTGAAATATGATCTGACTGTTGGTGACTAGCCTGTGTAAAAGGCATGGCAGGGGAAGAAGATTGCTAGTT